AATAGTTTTGGCCAATCCTCGAGACTCGACTGTTCCGGTGGAGGACTTCCTGGTGTTTACAAACCTCATGGAATAGGGACTCCAAAAGCAGCTGATGAAGCCGAGATCTGCTCCCCCAGCTTCTTCTCTCTGGCTATAGCAGCCAGATGACTGACAGGTGAATGTGGAAGTGATGTAATACACAGCCCGGAGGGAGATCAGCAAGGAGCTAACTTCCTCCTGACGCCCTCCCGAGCTGGTCCCAGGCCGCAGATGGGCTAGCGGATCCGGGATTGAAGGTGAGGGGTCGGGGGAGGGCTCGACAAAATCGCGCCATACAACCGATCAGCGGCTAGGGTTGTAGGTGAAACAGCCGTTAACTGCTGTAAAAACAAGCTGGTCTTTCCTGCCCGGGGGCGCGCGCATGAAAAAAATGCTGCCTGGAGACGGCAACCCACTGATGCGAGTCTGCCGTCCGTCCATTTTTTTTTTCTGCGGGCGGACGGCAACTGGTTAAGCAAGTCACCTGAGGAGCACCCCCATATGTCAGAGTGGGGGATGTCTATTGGTTGCAGGACAGTTCAGAACATTGTATCCAGGGGCTATGAACTGGAATGTTGGTATCTGCCTCATGTCGTTAAACTTGCCAACATCCTCGCAAAGTTAGGAAGACCGCCATCCTGCTCTAGTTCAACTCCTTTGGCAAGGGCTCAGACATTGTCCGGGAAAAAGAGGTTCCAAGGTTCTTATTTAAACCTGTTCACCTTTCCCAAAGCAGATCTAAAAGGTTAACTTTTTCCAGGAAAACCCGTTCCAAATGGAATCCGCCCCGTCACCAATTGCTTCCCTCCATACGGGAGACCTTTAGCTTCTGTGGACATCAAGGATGCCTACTTACATGTCCCCATCCTTTCATTGCATGTTACCTTTGTTTTGCTCTGGAAATACAGAATTACCAAGCGGTTTTCTTTGGCCTGCCTGCTGCACCTCAGATCTTCACCAAGGTGCTGGCCCCAGTTCATGTTCCGTCTCCTTGGAAGGTGGTCCAGATATCCCACTATTGGGGATGCCCTGAGAGTGAGTCAACTCAGGCTCTTGGTACATTTGGGATTTTGTGGTCAGAAGCAGCTTGGTTCCTGATCCAAGATTCTGGAACGCAAAAGTAATTCAGTTACTTCAACACGTCACCTTTATTCTGTGAGCTCCTCTGACTAGGACTCCGTTTGATAATGCCATGGCAGCGTCTAACCTCAATCAGGGAGGCACCAGAGATGAGCAGATCCGATTCGGCCTTCAGCACTAAATCACTTTCCAGTCCTGACTGTCCCAGACGTGACCAACTGGCAGGTGGCCTTCCTCAGTCATTTACATCTGGACTCATGGCACCACAGACTTGTTTCCACACCCAGGGATCCTCGAGCCTTCACAGTAGATGTTCTGGTGACGGTGGGATTAGTTCAATCTTATCTAGAACTTCCTCTGAAGGTTTTCCTACTCTGTAGAATTCAGATGGAGGGCATTCTAGTGATTCTCATTGCACGGAACTAGGTAGGTCGTGCTAGAGGACAACTTCTCTGCTCTTAGATGAATAGAGATGACTGAATCAGGTCTGTATTGCAAGGATTTCAAAATGGCCAGGCCAGCGATTGGGACGGCCGGAGGACCAGTCCTGGGAATAGAAGAGCTGGACAATCTGCCCGCAGAGCCTCACCAGGAGACCAAGATTCTCCCGGGCCATAAAAATCACTGAGTACCTTCCAATGTGATCCTGACCAGCAGAGGCGGGAAGAGGGAATCGGTGTGGTAAGCCATGACTGAGCACCGCTCTGCAGCAAGATGATTGGAAGTGAGCAGATCGGCGGTACATGGTCACTCACTTCACAAATCTATAGCAATGACCTATGAGTTTGTGTCGGCTCTGGGTGTAAATCGTTCGTTGTTCTCCTTTAACCGGCCGGCGTAAGAAAAGCCGACCCGGAGCTTCCTGGATGTAACGGCATCAAAGGAAGTCAGGTAACCCCACCCCCTCGGCACGAGCAGGAAATGAACAGGCAGCGATGCCCGTCTATAGAGCCAGCGTATCGCATGTATGGGGTGCCGATCAGAGCGCCTGCCCCCCTCCGCCAGGTGCAATCCCAGGACCAGCATGGGGGGGGGCTCTGACAGGATTGGTACACGATCTCCCTCCGGCCCCCTCTCCACTGTCAGAATGTATATATGACATCACTTCCGCATTCTTGCGTCACTCTCCGGTTACAGATTCCAGTAAGAAGTTGCTGAAGCAGATCTCTGCGTCTTTGGGGTCCCTAGGCAACATTCCCATAGAGGACCCGTCACATATCTTTGCTATTACATCGGGGGCTAAGAAACCCTTCTGTGATAAAGTGGGAATTTTTTTTTTTAAGTCCCCCACCCATACATGCATGCAAACATGCGTCAGGGGCATATACATGCGAAGTCTATTGTACCCATTACACCGCACATGTTGCTGAACGTCGCAGTGAGCAATTCTCAGGCCATCACTGATAACACTGAACTGATGAGCGGTAAAATAGTCACCGATGGTCAATTTTGGGTATGGTAGTTTTCCGTAATGCATTATAAATGGAGAAAACCACTCAAATTCTGTAATTTTTTCCATATAGTAAAATAACACACACCCCCCCCCCCCGGCCAGCAAGGGGTTAATGTCCCGAGGCCAAGAGTTGAATTGACACCACTGACCTCAGAGAATGAGGCACTTGAGGTCCAGGATGGGGCGAGCTGCAGAATTGGGGTTCCTGCGGCAGGGTTGAGGCGTCTTTACATTGGGTGGGAATGAGGTCCAATGCTGCTGGATGTGCCAGGTAAGCTTTATGTACTACAGTGCCAGCATCTCCCACAGGCATAGATCCCTACTGGTGTCCTTTACAAGTTCCTGCCATTGCTGTACAGACACTTTTCCCACCTTCTGATTAAGATTAAAAGGGCCACAAACTACTACAAGATAAAATGAACTTTATTAAAAACAAAATCTATTTACAGAAGCACACAGTGCCAACACAGTAAAATCACCAAATGGCTACAGATTTCTTCCTCATGGCATCACAGCTTGTGCCAGCTCCACAATGACCTCCGACCTCAGCTGAGGAATGGCACTTATCTTCATCTGTTTGCTGCTGGCATACTTATTCTTCACAGTCTGCAAATAGAGAGTCACATGATCACCTTCATCAGAGAGTCACATGATCACCTTCATCAGAGAGTCACATGATCACCTTCATCAGAGAGTCACATGATCACCTTCATCAGAGAGTCACATGATCACCTTCATCAGAGAGTCACATGATCACCTTCATCAGAGAGTCACATGATCACCTTCATCAGAGAGTCACATGATCACCTTCATCAGAGAGTCACATGATCACCTTCATCAGAGAGTCACATGATCACCTTCATCAGAGAGTCACATGATCACCTTCATCAGAGAGTCACATGATCACCTTCATCAGAGAGTCACATGATCACCTTCATCAGAGAGTCACATGATCACCTTCATCAGAGAGTCACATGATCACCTTCATCAGAGAGTCACATGATCACCTTCATCAGAGAGTCACATGATCACCTTCATCAGAGAGTCACATGATCACCTTCATCAGAGAGTCACATGATCACCTTCATCAGAGAGTCACATGATCACCTTCATCAGAGAGTCACATGATCACCTTCATCAGAGAGTCACATGATCACCTTCATCAGAGAGTCACATGATCACCTTCATCAGAGAGTCACATGATCACCTTCATCAGAGAGTCACATGATCACCTTCATCAGAGAGTCACATGATCACCTTCATCAGAGAGTCACATGATCACCTTCATCAGAGAGTCACATGATCACCTTCATCAGAGAGTCACATGATCACCTTCATCAGAGAGTCACATGATCACCTTCATCAGAGAGTCACATGATCACCTTCATCAGAGAGTCACATGATCACCTTCATCAGAGAGTCACATGATCACCTTCATCAGAGAGTCACATGATCACCTTCATCAGAGAGTCACATGATCACCTTCATCAGAGAGTCACATGATCACCTTCATCAGAGAGTCACATGATCACCTTCATCAGAGAGTCACATGATCACCTTCATCAGAGAGTCACATGATCACCTTCATCAGAGAGTCACATGATCACCTTCATCAGAGAGTCACATGATCACCTTCATCAGAGAGTCACATGATCACCTTCATCAGAGAGTCACATGATCACCTTCATCAGAGAGTCACATGATCACCTTCATCAGAGAGTCACATGATCACCTTCATCAGAGAGTCACATGATCACCTTCATCAGAGAGTCACATGATCACCTTCATCAGAGAGTCACATGATCACCTTCATCAGAGAGTCACATGATCACCTTCATCAGAGAGTCACATGATCACCTTCATCAGAGAGTCACATGATCACCTTCATCAGAGAGTCACATGATCACCTTCATCAGAGAGTCACATGATCACCTTCATCAGAGAGTCACATGATCACCTTCATCAGAGAGTCACATGATCACCTTCATCAGAGAGTCACATGATCACCTTCATCAGAGAGTCACATGATCACCTTCATCAGAGAGTCACATGATCACCTTCATCAGAGAGTCACATGATCACCTTCATCAGAGAGTCACATGATCACCTTCATCAGAGAGTCACATGATCACCTTCATCAGAGAGTCACATGATCACCTTCATCAGAGAGTCACATGATCACCTTCATCAGAGAGTCACATGATCACCTTCATCAGAGAGTCACATGATCACCTTCAGAGAGACACATGATCACCTTCATCCGAGAGACACATGATCACCTTCATCAGAGAGTCACATGATCACCTTCATCAGAGAGTCACATGATCACCTTCATCAGAGAGTCACATGATCACCTTCATCAGAGAGTCACATGATCACCTTCATCAGAGAGTCACATGATCACCTTCATCAGAGAGTCACATGATCACCTTCATCAGAGCCACCAATGAGACCACAATGGTTTTTATCAGCATAAGGTGCCTGTCCAGGTCTAGGACATAGAGCTTTGGTAAAGGGACGTCCCCACCTTCCTGTCCCAGGGGACATCATTGGTGGGGCTCCACAAGACAGTCGTCCCCCATCTCCACTAATCTGGATGGATCATGCAGCTGCATCCCCAAATTAGTGAGGACAGATCAGCACCAATAGTGGAAAGCAGCCACATTTCCCCCCCCACAAGTATTGGGTCCAATCATTTACTGACATGAAGAGTTGTGGCAACAAGTAACTGCTGAAAGTTTGCTATTGCAGCATGGGTAAGGGTAAGCCATACCCTTCACCTTCAGGTGTGAACACGAGTATGCAATACAGAATCTAAGTATTCTAGGGCACAAAAATCAGCATGGCTGCACTCCAGCGGAAGGGTACCTAGTTCCTGCGGCTTCTATACAGACTGGGACCCCACAGCCCATCCCCCTCCCATTACCAGGCCAACCTAAAGGACCTGGAGAGCTGTACAGCTGCCCCCAACTTATAGCAGGAAAATGTCACTTACCATATGCTTTGTGAGTCCTTTGTTCACCTTCACAACATTCTTGGCCATGTGCTGCATTATAGGAAGCAGCGAGTCTTCGGAATACAAGGTGTAGTGTTGCAGTGTCGGGGTCTGAAAGACATTTCTGCGTTCAGATCACAGTAGCAGAATGACAGCAATCATACAATACGGGAGCCAGTGGCGGCACTCACCCAGTCCCCACCATTGAAGACCTTCATGGATAGGCGGGATGCAGCAGCTGCAATCTGAGAGGGAGGGTAATGAACCATCTCATAGTCCACCATGACCAGTTCCATCAGATACTTGGCCAGACTGTGCTGCTCTGCCGTCACCTAGGAGAAGAAACTCGCCATAACAAGCCGGTACCGAGCCAAATAGTCACATTTCTGCCCCCCGCAGTCACACCATTTACAGATGGCCGTCTCCCTCATGTACTATACAAACATGGACTTGTTATCCTTAGATGAAGTACAGGTCCTCTTGAGCGGTATCTGATTCTTGGTTACCTGGTCTCCAGAAGTCCAGTGCCATCTATGCTCGGGTATCATCCAGAGGGTTTGTTAGCCTGCCCCAGGCTTGCTGCCCTGACATGCATCCATTGCCCCATCAGCTGCACCTCACTTTTCTTGCAAGTAGAATTTCTCGGCCTCAATGACCGTCTATGTCCAAGTTGTCCGGCCGCAGAGGGTGAAGCGCAATCCTTCATCTTTCCTCCAGAACCCACTTCCTGCTCTCTGCATTGGGACAGAATCCTTTCCATTTTTGTGGCGCTCCCCTCTGGCCTTTTCATGGCCCCATTGTGGGGTGCTCGGGACGCCCTTCTAATGGCCCCATTGTGGGCGTCCCCACAATGGGGCCATGAAAAGGCCAGAGGGGAGCGCCACAAAAATGGAAAGGATTCTGTCCCAATGCAGAGAGCAGGAAGTGGGTTCTGGAGGAAAGATGAAGGATTGCGCTTCACCCTCTGCGGCCGGACAACTTGGACATAGACGGTCATTGAGGCCGAGAAATTCTACTTGCAAGAAAAGTGAGGTGCAGCTGATGGGGCAATGGATGCATGTCAGGGCAGCAAGCCTGGGGCAGGCTAACAAACCCTCTGGATGATACCCGAGCATAGATGGCACTGGACTTCTGGAGACCAGGTAACCAAGAATCAGATACCGCTCAAGCTTCAGCAGAATTGGAGGAAATGAGATTCCATTCTTCACTCAGCCAAACAAAACCCAATTCCAGCTACATCATGGACCCTCCACCCTCAGACAGGACCCTCCACCCTCAGACAGGACCCTCACAGCCAAACAGCCCAACCCAGAAACACTTACCTCTCCGATCTTAGAGGCCCTCCTGAGGAAGTGCAGAGGGAGAGGGCGACCAATTCCGAATTTCAGGACACGAAGAATCTTCATCTCCATCTCCCTGATCTGGGCCTTTGTGTAGGTGTGATCAGTCACAAAGGTGAAGTCCCCAATCTCTGGAGGATACATCTCTTCGTACTTTGAGGCAAGGAACATGGCCGTCACTCCTACAAGCTGGAGCTGGTTTTTGGGAACTGGGTGAGCCTGCGAAATGGGAATAAAACCATGAAACTCAAAGTGTCCAAATACCCCAGAAGACCTGACATTCCACCCCAGGGCAGCTTCCCAATGTCACCTGCAAGAATCGGTCAATGATCCCAACGCTCATGAACATGGTCTCCTGTAGAAGGCGGAACTTCATCTGAACCTGGACCAGCCAGTCAATGAGAATGGCCCGCATGTTACCCGTCACCTCCTGGCCTTGGAGATAGTTCGGCCTTATTGCCATGGAATCCTGAAGACCAAAGAGAGCAACATGAGACCGAGCCAAAGCGAGACCGAGCCAAGACATTCACGCAAGGCGAGACCGAGCCAAGACATTCACGCAAGGCGAGACCGAGCCAAGACATTCACGCAAGGCGAGACCGAGCCAAGACATTCACGCAAGGCGAGACCGAGCCAAGACATTCACGCAAGGCGAGACCGAGCCAAGACATTCACGCAAGGCGAGACCGAGCCAAGACATTCACGCAAGGCGAGACCGAGCCAAGACATTCACGCAAGGCGAGACCGAGCCAAGACATTCACTCAACTTGAGAAACCCCAAAGAACCTTCAGAAATGAATTCCATCTCTGACCCGTCCTGCGGACACACCGGCACCATCCAGCCCACAATTCCCGGCTCACCTCCAAACTCCTCAGATAGCAGTAGATGTCCTTCACGTATTCACTGCACAACATGGGATTCCCACAGTCCTCAGCATCCACATCCTTCACCTGAATGAGGACATCCGAGAAGGCCTGGCACAGCTCATCTGGGTGGCAGCCGGATGTCTCCATAGGGCTGGGGGAGCTGGGGGCTTCCACCTGTGGGGTGAGAAGATTGGGGGGGATCTGAATTCATAGACCCCCAAACATACGAATAGACACGGCTAGATACAAACATGACCAGCGCCATCATACCTGCACAGGCTGCGGCTTCACAGAGACCGCCTCCTCCTTCACCTTCTTTGTCTCCGGAATCTTCTCTGCCGCCTTCACTTTCCTCACAACTTTTATTGCAGGTTTCTGATCCTGGAAGAGACGAGAATCTGGTGGGTCCTGCGGAGTCTCCACCTAAAACCATCAACCCCACGAGCCAAACAAACCACCCGGAGGGCAGGGAGAAGACTCCGACCTCCCAGAACCCCTTCAGGAACCCCGCCCCTCCCCCAAGCCAGGCCAGAGGGCAGGGACAAGACTCCCGACCTCCCAGAACCCCCTCAGGAACCTCGCCCCTCCCCCAAGCCATGCCAGAGGGCAGGGAGAAAACTCCGACCTCCCAGAACCCCCTCAGGAACAACCCCACCCCTCCCCCATGCCATCCCAGAAGCCCTTCAGCTAAAGCCCCCCCATGCAGACTTACCTTCTTTAGGGGCATCTTGGCATCCGCTTTGTTCCCAATATCACCCAGGGCCGTTCGGGGCCGCAGTACGGGCTTCACCGCCATCTTGCCAACAACTCCGCTCTTCATACTGTTCTCTGCATTACATA